GACAAAAGTTAGAGCACAAAAGAAGAGAGCTAATATTCGAGTGAACCGGAACCGAACTACGTAAGGTCTGATTCCTATCTATGGAATACGTAGGCAACTTCATACCGAAGTTCGACCGTAATCATCTCTAACTCAACTGTCATGTTTGTTTATCTGATCAGGTCATCTTTGTTCATTATCTAAGAGTCTGCTTGTGATCTTCATTTTGGGCAGAAGAGCCAGTTGCAATGCAGAGTAGGAATGCAAATCAGAGGCAGTTATGATCTTGTGGTTCGGGGTTGTAATCTTGAGGATTGATTCCACGCACGTCAAGTGGTGATCATTTTCGCAAATGGTTTTGAAAAGTGTTAATAAAAGTTGATTTTTCTCAAAAATTTTCTTTTACAACTTAGACCCTTTTTGGACCAAAAGGACAATTTTCAGTGCTCACAACTTTAATTCCATTGATTTTAATATAAAGTTCTCGAACTCTTTGATACAAATCAAAGTTTCTTTTATATCATAAAACTTGAAAAGAAAGGTTAAAGCAATAAACTAGGGGCATATGTGAGTCAGGTGTTCTTGCGTTCTCTGCTTGTGCTTGTGGAAGCCTCTGTAGCCAAAGATGGCCCGACTTGTGCCTCATCCTCGAGCCAAGCCAAGCCAAGCATTCGCCAGAAAGGGCATAGTTGAAACTAGAGGCAGGGACCAGAAGCTCTCTCGTCCTCCAAATGGCAAGGTACCGAACCAAGTATGAAGCACGAATCGGAAAGGAAGTCGGGTATTCTACTGCTTTGTCTGGACGAGTCTGATCATGCTCAAACTAACGTTGGAATCGGAGGGGAAAGTAGAACACACAGTGTGTAAGGCCAATCAACTGTATGCCTCATTGTCGAGACATGCTATAACTTATCTCAAGTAGGTTGAGCCAAGGGTAACACCAAGCTATGTCACCTGCAGACCTGTTGCACATCCAGCTGCACCACCATCCCTCGTTGGGAAAATCCACTAGTGATTGACGGAAGAAATAAGCTCGAGCTGAGTACTCGGGGCAAGGGTCCACCACCTTCAGCTTATCTATGAGCCATATCTGGGAAGGGATAAAAAGTAAGAGAGATTAAAAAAGAGAGAGATGTGCGTGGAGATAAAAGTAGCGAAAGGGCTTTAAGAGAAAATAGAGCTTGAGTGCCGAGTGATGTGAGAAACACATATGAGAAGGAGTGGGAAACAATACCTGAAGAAGTAGTGGACTCCCCACAAACCTAGTGGTCTCTCATCGATGAAAAGCATTTAGGCCCATGATGGTCTCAACTAGCGCCAAACCGATGCAGTTGTTACCCTCTTTCAAACATTGGGCCACATCGATCAACTGAATGCTGGTTCCGCCCAAACTAGGGGTAAGAAGGAAATGCTCAGGTACACATAAACAAAGGGCGTGTTTCCAAAAGCCTCGCCAAATAGGGTCACCTCTGTCACCGGTGTCAGAAAACCGATGAATCAAGCTGGGTATGTCTAGCTCTCCGTCATGGGCCAAAGATCGAGTTTCATGCAAAGTAAGCCCACACATTCGTCCTAAAGCTTGGGTGTAGCCAAAACAGGGCCGAGGCATGAGTTTCTCATCGCGTCGGGTTTCCATTAATGCTTGAAATTCTTCTAGAGTCAGATACATTTCTTGAGTTTCGAAGCAAAATAGATGCGTAATTGGATCCCAACATCGGGCCGCGACATGAAGGAACAGAAAACAAAGTGGAGTGTGACTTAACAAAAAAAGTGTATTTATGCCGAAACCTCAGAAATTTACTTTTTTCATGGGAGAAGATTTCCCTTTTTGTGACTTTCCCGAGCCTTGGGTAAATTTAGAGAGGCAACGTGTCCCCGGATTCGAGATTTTCTTTGACCTTCAGCTGCAGGACAACGATGATGAGAAAAAGGATGAACCAAGCATCAAAGCTGAACAAAGCTTGGAAAGTGACTCAGATGGCAGTGAACTTGGAGTAGGGCCAGCACTGGCTAGTCTCCTGATAGATCCTGTGGCTGACCTAGAGAACTTGGGGGATAACCTTACCGTCTCCATGATCGGGGAAAAATCAGGTGAGAACCCCACCAGTGGGATTTTGGATGCATCAGAGGCACCATATCTTATCTGGCAGCTGGAGGAAGGCTATACTAGTCCACTACCGGAGTGTTCTGAGGACTTAATTGATGGGGTGTATGACCCAAGTTGCTACATTGTGTCAACCGATCAAATCAAGCCGGAATTGGTGCTGCCAGTCTCGGTAGGCATTAATGTTATTAGGGAGGATGGCCCGGAGATGAATTAGCAGAACTTGAAAAGGACTTGGACAATCTGCAATTCTTTGATGAGCAAGATCAGGGGAATGTATAGATCGGCTGGTTCGACTTAAACGGATCAACTGACACCTCTGGATGGCTGAGTGATGAGCCGGATAAAGAAGAAGAAGCTGGAAAGAAACCAGAAGGAAAGGAAGTAGAGATTGCTGTAGTGGCCGGAAGGGTCGATGAAAAAGGAAAGCTGCTAGAGAACGCTGGTATGAAAAACTCAGCCCAGGAAGTGGGCACTGTGAGCAGTGTGGATACGGAACATGAAATTGCACTGAAACAGTTTGAACGAGAAAGGGTGGAAGATAACCAGGGAGTTATAATGGCCCAACACCCCGTGGGGGATACTTATGATGTGAAAGTAATACAAGCAAAATTGGGCAACTATTTGTTGACCTCTGACAGTTAATGGTGGGACGATGATGATCTGCATCTGGCCCACAGCACCCAAGACTGGGGTGAGGGCCTTCTGGACAACACGTGGTATGTTGAAGAATTTGACCATTTGACAAAGAGTGGGCATTATTTTAAGCCACCACACCTCTTGGCCTACTTGCGAGTAGCACCATCAAACCATTTTCAAATAAACAAACATGAGATGTTTTGTTCCAATTCAGGCGATCCAGTCTATACTTGTGTGCTGTACGCATCACATAGTAAATCTAGGCTAATAACCGGAATAAGAATGCATAATGTTTTCAAAACTCGATATCATGGTTAGTAGAGGCTGATCTTTGATCGGGCGAGCGGGGGTGCTCACGAAGTGACCTTCCGTAATTGTA